TGTGTACCATAACTTCCGTTTCTAAGAATTTTCTTGGAATTTTCTGCTTTTCACACATTACAATGATTCATAGATGGCCACACCGACACATAGCGCCACGCCCACTTTTCAAAATGAAGTTATTGACACTATTAAATCTCTTACACGAAAACGAAACGAAAGGTTGTAGCGCCAAGCCGGCGCCAAACGGCGTTAATACTGAGAAGGAATGATACATTCGTGACCAGGATGCCAAATAACCCAGGTGTTCGAGTTTGTACCCAATTCGGTGCCAAGAAGATCGCTGGCGCCAAAGTGGCGCCAGGTGGCGCCAACTTTGGAAGGCAACGATATATTCGTGACAAGGATGTCAAATAACCTAGGTGTAGAGGTTTCCATTGGAATCGGTGTCAAAAGGATCGCTGGCGCCAAAGTGGCGCCCGCTGGCGCCAGGTGGCGCCAACTTCGGAAGGCAACGATATATTCGTGACAAGGATGTCAAATAACCTAGGTGTAGAGGTTTCTATCGAATTCGGTGTCAAAAAGACTGCTAGCGCCAAAATGGCGCCTACTGGCGCCATATGGCGCCAATGACAAATGAGATCTCACGTTCATGATCAAAGACCCGCGCAGTCCCTGCAGCCAAGGTTTCGTCCAAAAAGAACTATTTTGGAGGTTTCTGCCGCAGCAGTAGCTAGTTGAAAAATTTCAATTTTTAATTCAAAATATCTCATGGGGCAGCAACATTTTTCTTGCTCATCCTTGTTGGAAACTCACCTTCCACAGCTTACTCGAAAGCAAGAAAAAGATCGATTGAGACTGCCGGCAATAACCCAAAAGATATGAGAGAAAGTCATGAGCCATCGGTGGCTCAGGTGGTCGTCAACGGTGTTAATGAGGGAGGGCATGCTTTTTTCTTTCCCCGAACTTAGGCGAGCTAGAAATGTGTATCTATTCATAAACAGTTGTTAAGACATGAATTAAAGTCAGCGTCATGTCGCCGAAGGCTTGACCTTGGGCGAGCAGGAAGGCGGACAGGAAACAGTAGCAGATGCGTTGTTCGCGCAATTACGTCACTAGTGATCGGCGTCACCGCACAAAACGCATACAGCTTCTACAGATTGCGATAGGGGCTATGTTGAATGAGGGCGTGATTTTCCCATCATCGAGGTCACCTGCTGGAGTGCGTCTCAGGTACCGACAGTAGATTCTTTTGAGTTGTAACAAAGGTCTTTCAACAAGGAATGGTTTGAACTTCCCATGGAACTTTGAATGGAGACCTAGGTACATTGATAGAGCCTCGAATGCTGATTACGAATATGCAGATTAAAAGTGCTACGGACCTCCCAGACGAGATCTGGGTGGTCAAAGTTTAAGTTCTGGCTCGTAAGCGCTGGTGATCTGATTATCACGATGCCTCGGCAGTGCCACCGTGGGCCTCGTGGTAATGATCTCGCTTTCAAGTCAAACGCAATACGGGGTTTTTTTTTTTTTTTTTTTTTTTTGCAAAGTTGGCGCGAAAATTTTTGCTTCGCTCCGTATAAGAGCTTCAACTAATTTTCGAAATTCTTCCGAATTTACGGCCCAGCAGGGCAAGTAGATCAAGTACATCAAGTATACGACGTACTCGATCTAGTATGGATTTGGTCATATCTGCCCTCTCTGAACATATTACCCATCCGACAATTCAAAGTTTAGCTGCTCAGCTGTACTTTGTTGGGGCGGCGGGCATTAATCGGAATCGCATGTCCTTTTTGCTGACCGCGCTCGTGCCCATAAGTAATTCTGCTCTCCTTTATTACATTTTATTCATTAGGAGCACATACAGTCAACTGCAACCCATCTCGCAAGGTAAAACGCGTAAAATCACCAGCGATGCAGTTTTCGGTGCAAAAGCTCGACTGCACTAAAAGGTGCACGCTACCGTAATCCTAATTCGTACGCGGAGTTTTTGAAAGTTTCTTTTGTTGCGAGTTTTCCGTCGGTGTTTTTTCTTTGTATTGGTGATACTTACCCCTGGGAGCTGCGGAAAAGCAATTTGTGAGCCAGGATTCGCACACAGATGGGGGGAGGGGGTGTGACTGTCAGAGCGATTTTGTTTGTAGTGTTTCTGAAGATTCTTCTTGCTTTTTTTTCTTCTCTAGGGAATTACTTATAGCTACTGGTTCATAACTCAGCAGCTATCCATGGCACTTGATCGCGGGAAATGTCGTTGTCGCTTCGGGAGCGCCCTACGCGAGTAGCACTGCACATTGCTTGCTTAGCAGGTAATTCCCTTTTTTTACTAGGCGTTCTTACACCGTGAACATTGCCAATTCAGCGTTCCACTGAGTTGCATAAATGTCCCAGATCTGCTGAAAAGGTGGTTTCCCGGCATGTTTCACGTTTCTTCTCTGTGCTGTACTTCATTTGAACCATAGTACATAGAGGCGGTATAAACGCTTTATTTCGGTTGCAGCGGTCTGCATACGCTTCGTCAAAGGATGCTGTCTACAATAGAACAAGTTTTCTTCGTAGAGATTTGGCCAACTGACGCTTGTTGAGTTTAGCCTGAATAGAAGATGTATGAATGGAAATAGATGGCAACTATCGCTATATTCTTACTTTGGCCGGATAGGTTCCTTCGACTCCAACTCCCTGTCCTGCGATGTCAGCACCTACACCATTACCACCGTTCTCGAACACAGCTTGACTTTCCGCGGCAACACTAGGTCGTGACACAACATCCGAGACAACGTGCGCTGCAGCATTTGCAGCGCCAGCGCCGGCATCGTAGGAATCTTTTGGTTTTTTAGACCTATTAGGACATTGGCAATACTCTGCATCGGCACCATTTCCTCCCGGTCTTCCAGTAGGACCGGGAATACCGTCCGGTCCAGCGTCACCTGGTGCACCCTGCAATGATGTGGGAGTCAAGACTAATATTTTTCAAGAAAAAAGTTCAAGGTTACCTACCACTGGTCCAGGTGGTCCCTGAGGTCCAGGCTTCATGTCGTCGCCTCTCTCACCAGGGAGACCTTCATCACCAGGCGCTCCAGGTGGTCCCATTTCTCCACGAGGTCCTGGTGGTCCTTTCACAGTACCCACACCGGGCTCTCCAGGGGGACCTTAAAGACAGATGTCTTGTTCGATACTTTCACTTAGTTTAAACAAGCTCAAGCTAACCTCTTGGTCCGGGAGCACCAAGTGGTCCGGGATGTCCAACATCTCCATCAGGTCCGGGGTCTCCAGCGGCTCCATCACCTACCGGGCGGTCCTGGAGGCCCTTTGCTGCCCTAGAATCTTTCTCATTTCTCCGAAAATTTGAATGCAATAAAGAGCTTGGGGCCTACCTTGGGGCCTCTGGCTCCCCTTTTTCCTTTGTACCCGGCTAAACCTGGAGGTCCAGCTGGGCATGGCAGACATAGCCCATTAGTGTCCGCATTTACTCCATTTCCTGAGTTTCCGTTCCTTCCAGGTATACCGTCTTTTCCATCAAGGCCTAGAACACATAATCATAGTTAACAAGTGATCTTTATAAGTGACACAGTAACAACCATACCATTTTGTCCCCTTTGTCCTGGTGCTCCCTTTGGTCCTGGAGGGCAAACCAGTTCCTGCTTGCTTGAAGCAGCTACTGCGGCAGTTACCCTTGTTTTTTCTGCATAAGGTTCTTCCTTATCTAAATGGAAAAAAGAGTTAAGTCGCACAGCGACCAAAACTTCATAGAAAATACATACAGGTTTGTCGTCGGGACCTCTGAACCTTTCCGCCTTCACTAACGAGGATCTTTCCACATGAGATTGGACATTTCCTCATAGTTAAGCCGAGACTCAAGGAAGCTCTTCCTCAATACTGCTCATCATTGTGAACAGTACCGGCATGGAGGTGACCTGAAGACAGAGAGATTGAAGGAAGTGTCAACAGCTCCTATAACTTGAAGGCGATTGCCGCGATCAATCGTTAATGGTAGTAGGTGCTCAACATGAACCAGTAGCCCCAGCAGAGAAAGAAGCAAAAACCCTTGGAACACTTCCGAAAGAGAACCTCGCCTCCCTCCCTCATAGAGGGGCCGGTCCAGAGGGGCCGGTGCCCTGGACGAGTTTGTCGAAGCCCAGTCAGCAAGATTCGGCGTGCAACCAATTCTCGAGCAGGAATACAGGAAATCACCCTGCGAGGCTCCAGGCAACGCTATGTACACCGCATCGCTGTAAGCTGTTGTCTTGCAGAGTGAAAGTAATCGTGGTTGCAATGGTTGCAATAATCACGCGTCTCTAGCTTCTTTATCTCGCCGTTTCGAGTGACGAAAGTGGTATATTTCTGCGAATGCGGACAACGATGCCAAATGCACGGAGGCATTTTGCGGACCACTCGATCGCAGAAACTGTCTTTGAGGTCAAGCAATTCGCAGAAAAGAACTGACCAGTACGACCAGTGCGACTCCCGACATCAGAGTCGCCAGGTTTGCTGAGCATCGTAGCATCGGTGGGAATTTTTCTTCCATCTTAAAAGACTGGATGAGTAGTAACAGAGAGTACTGAAAAAGAACAGCAATCTGAAGGCTTGGAATGGCTAGAGCCTCGTCTTTTATACTCCGAGGCGATGATTTCTATCTTAAGCGTTTGCGGAAATAATTCACTATCAAGTAGTCCATCTGTCACACGACATACTTTCTCAAACGGGTCGAGCAGGAGAGAATCAATCATCCGTGCTTTCACAATGGAAGCAAATCTGAAATAGAGTTAGAAAATCTAAACTATGAGCCGTGATCGAATGAAGGACTTTCTGCACTTTCTTCAGAGTCCTTGAGGTAAAGGACAAGCCTATATGCTACAGTAGCCGAAAGCAAACTTGGAACAGACTTTGAAATGACATTTTCATCCGTTTTCTAATTATTCACTGCCCTCCAAACCAACATGTGTGTGGATGTGTGTACCGGAAACTCATAACTTCCTTCAAATGGGCCGTAGAGAGTTCAGATTGATAGGTGAAGTAGGAGATCAGAAGGAACATATTGTTGGGTTGCAGTAGGTGGCAGCATCTGAGAAGGGCTTACAAGGGGCCTCAAAATGGGAGGGTCCTCAGATTCATAAGTAGCGTCACAGCCATGAACTGAACCATGCGCGCAGAACTGCGCATCAGCCAAACTGGCAACACAATAACTTGGCAAATATCAGTGATGAAGCA